GATGGTGCCCTACAATTGTCTGTAATTCCCTTTTTTGGCCTCAGTTGACACCAGGGAGGCAAGTGGTACACTGATATACATGTATAGGCAAAACACACATACACATAAAAAATAAAAATAACTAAATTTAAAGAAAAAAAGTTTAAAGAATTATATTAACACTTGTGGACCAGAGGACACAGTAACTTTTAAGAGTCTCAAACTGAGTATGGTGGCATATGCCTTTAATCCTAACACTCAGAGACACATCTCTGTAGGTTCGAGGTCAGCCTGGTCTACAGAACAAGTTCCAGGACAACTGGGGCCACACAGAGAAACCCTGTATCAAAAAGCAATAAAATAACAACAAAAGAAAATATGATACTTGACTTTAGAGACAATCAAACTATTTTTCTAAATACACTTCAGGAACTCCTTCCATCCATCTACAGAAGAGTTTGTGACTGTGCGCTCCAAGAGAATAATCTTTAACAGCAAAATCTGGAAGCTAAAATGTATTATATTTATAAAGCTGACTAGTACACAGCAACAAATCTCAATTACAATGAATGAATACTATACGATTGTTACTATAAAATTCAAAACATTTGGAAAAATCAAACTATATTTAGATGCTCAAGTGCTATCACTAACAAATGATAATGGAAGACCAGAAGGTGATCAACAGTTCAGCAGGAAGGCAAAGCTAAGATCAAAGTAACAGAAGAACCTGAGCTGAGGACCATCACTTGACTTTTCAATCTCTGTGGAACAGTAAACACCAAACACATCTACAACCACAGGAAGCAACCAGGGTTAACTCACCAATGAGAACAAACTCAGGAGAAAAAAAAAACAAATTTTCCATCCAGTATTAGAAGCAATTTCTTCAGGATTCCGGCACTAACTGAATATCAGCAGCTCTTCAGCAATCCTCTAGGATTACAGTACCAAATTGAGACTGCCAAGATATCCACCCAGCCTTGTGGATAGACCAACTATTGGATTTCTCAGCCTCTCCAGTCTGAGACAAGGTACTGTTTGACTACCCAGAATAAGGGAATATATGTAGTCAACTTGCCAAAGTCACTGATGGGTAATAGAATCAGACAAGTGTTCTCTCTTCACTGCCTGGCATTTGACAAAACAGAACAGAAGAAGCATAAGCAAGAACAATGCTTAAGAAAGAAACGGATATATTAGTTTGATGTGGGATTCCTTTTTGTATGCTTTGAATACTATTGGTTAATAAAGAAACTGGCTTGGCCTGATAGGGTAGAGTATAGAGCTAGGCAAAGAAACTAAAGTGAATGCTGGGAGAAAGAAGGGCAGAGTTGAGAGAAGCCATGGAGCCATCACCAGAGACAGACACAATGAAACCTTGTCGGTAGGCCATGAGCCTCATGGTAAAATATAAAATAATGGAGATGGGTTAATTCTAGATGTAAAAGATAGCTAGCAATATGCTTAAGTAATTGGCCAAGCAATGATTTAATTAATACAGTTTCTGTGTGATTATTTAGGGGCTGAGAAGTCAGGAACAAACAAGCAGCTCTCCTTATAACACTAGTTCTACACAAATCCTCCCCACCCCAATAAACAGGAACACAACTCATTTTATGAGGTCTAAAGGACAAACCAAAAAGGCTCCAAGAAGACATTCTTCCTGATCACAGATGTCAAACTAGTGCAGCAAAGCGGAGAAAGGATGTCCAAGCAGATCTGAAAAAAAACCACGGTTTTTCCAAAACAATCCAAATCTGAAAACAACCCAAAAGCCTATGAACACACACACATGTGCAGCACTAACACATACATACAAATACAGTCTTGTGTAGTTTCTCAATAACAGGAAGAAATGACTGATCCTACAGCAACAAGAATGTTCTCAAAAGCACTGTGCTAAATGGCACAAGTTTATGGGCACTATGGAAAATGCAGAACTGTAGGGATAATACTTAAGTCCAAAATATACTAAGGCCTGATTTACCTGAGTTGAATTCCTGGGACCTATATGGTGGAAAATAACCAACTCTGAAGCTATCCTCTGACCTCCATACAACATTCTGTGGTTCCCCTATACATACACACACATGCACACAATTTTAAATGAAGCAATAGATATAATGGGGATGGGGAAACTATATATATAAAATGGGGTTGAAGGCTATGAAAAGAGGTACCTACATGGATGAATAATGCTTCTCCTAGAAGTCAGGGGTTATTAAATAAAAATCTCAGTAGCAGTTGTGGGATATGACACCCAAAGTCTCCCCAAACCATACAGACTATTGTCAATACTTTTGATCATCCACCAAGCTAGATGCAAGACCCTATTGTTGAAGGTATTATGTATCTTGATTGTAGGACATAGAGAAATCAAGCCGGAATTAAGCTTCCAGCTTCCTTCCTGCTAGCTAGCTTTCATAATGATGGAAGGTCATGTACTCTGTAAGCCACTGAGGCAGAAATGTCATCAGTGTCCAGATATAAACCCTATGAGTTACAATTAATTACCTGCCAGACAAGATATATCCACTGTAACCATGATGGCATTGATATTTTGTGAGTAATCAACTGCCTCCTGATTGGGTATAAGGCCTACTCCATAGTAGAGAATCCATGTCTGGTCTCTAAACCTGGTCTATGACTGGTGAAGTCATATGCCCTGGTGGGGAACCTATTACTATTTTGCTAAATGGACACATTATTAAACTACTTTCTAAACACCTACATGCACATTCACATAGCAATGCTGCTCCTAGCCTTGGTAAGAGAAGCTTCTTTTGCAGTGGGCAGCAGTCAATGAATACACTCATACTAGTCAAAATGCTAAGAATAAGTGACAGTTGAATGTTGAACACTAAAAATGACATCTGTATCACCTCCTTCAAGGCTCAGCAAACATCGCAGAAGAGGGAGCAGAAAGAATGTTAAGAGCCACAGGATGGGGAGAAGTGCTGTGAAACATTGTTTACTGGACATGACATGATTGTTATACTTAAGTGGTCACAGCATCTGTGCTTACCTGAACAATATGGGCCCCATCCAAATTCCATCATAGATTGGGAAGTTGCTCATAAGGCTTCTAGCTGTCCCCAAAGAGCTACTAGTAGTGAGCTAATGGTTACTGCGGAGAAGTGTTATTTTCTTCACTAGCATAGCCACTGATAAGTTGCTCATACTACAGTAAATAAGCCTCACTTCAAATACTCATATCAATAACCCTAATCAAACTCCCTGGGTCATAAAAAAAACAAATAAACATGAAAGTCAGAAAGCACTTGTGAAGGTTTTAGGAGGGAGAGGGAAAAGGATAAGGAAAGGTACTGAAAGAAGGGGAAATAGTCAAAATTTAATATAAACTTGTATGAAACTGAAAAAAAAATCTGAGAAGAAAATTTCAGACTGATTATGTTCTGAATCTCTGGTGAAGAGATTGTAGAGGATTTCAGAGGTCCTGACAGAGTTCGATTCTGAGCAACTACATGGTGGCTCACAACCATGTACAATGAGATCTGGTGCCCTCTTCTGGCATATAGACTAAAATGCAGGCAGAACTGTATACATAATAAATAAGTAGGTAGGTAGGTAGGTAGGTAGGTAGGTAGGTAGGTAGGTAGGTAGG